TGAAAATGAGGCCTTCAAATTGAAAATAACTAAATGCTGCTCGACGTTCTGGTTAACAGTTTCACTGTGGATTACCATCACAGATATGGAACATTTATAATTAAAGCTAACAGCTAACAGTAGTTAATGTTAAGAGAAGTAGGTCTTGAATATGTCTAATCTGAAAGTCAATTTGGTTTCGTAAATCAGTGAAAGGCTAATTTAGGGCCCTCAATGTTTGAAGAGAAAATCGGTTTTTTAGATGTGCCACACCTCTCTTACCTTTAGTAAAATTCCACTCTTTTATTGAAAATGAATGCCGTGCATTTGTGTTTAGTCGTGATAATTTATCCCAAAATATTAAGTTTAAGAGATAGCAATTATATGTAAGGTATGTTTAAAGACTGAAATTACGGTTTGGAACAAAAGCGTTGGTCAATGAAGATTTGATGTAAATAATTTCATGTAAAAGGGTGATATAAGTGGTAATATTAAAGAGACCAAGAGAGACGAAGAGCCTCCTGAAGAAACAAAAAGCTTAAACAAAACAAAAAATGCTTCACTCACAACTCTACCACAGCTTCACTTGGTTTCAGGTTACGCACACTACAGGGCACTGCTCGATAAGCTCTCAAGAAAGATCCGCAAGCGATGATTTTCTTCACCAACCCCTTGTGTTTGGCCCAAATACCCATCCTGTGACCAGTAGGTGAACGACTTCACAGAACATAAAACACCGCTTTGCAATTGTCATTTATTTCCAATAAACACCGTAAAGATGAAACAAGGACGTTCAGTCTCCCTTACTACCTACAGCCGGTAACTTTTCTCGTCGTATCATATGATGTGAGGTAAAATAGCTGAAAGCCAGTCATTTCTTATTTTGGATGACATGGTACAAACTTGATGTAAATTTCTTTAATGCAATTTAAAGCTTTTATAAAGAAGATGAAGACAAGTCAAGTGTACGTATTGTTATTTATATTTTAGTAAGCTGCACTCGAGTGTAAAGTTCATCGTTTACTTGCCTTACGTATTGTTTGCGTAACCTTTTAAAGAAAAACGAAAAATGGCTTTACAGCTGCAAATCTGGTTCACGTTAGACTTCTACATTCACGATGTACTAAGGCTATTTACATTGACCACTTGTGAGTATAATAAAGTATAAAGACGAAAGTAATTAAGTCCAACGAAATGTATCTCGGTTGGTCCAGAGTCCAGTTGCTATGTTTAGATCCCTGATCGGTGGAAACAGACCATTTCCTCTTTCCTGTTATACAAGCAAGTTTTCTGAGTTTAGTTTCCCAACATAGTTCGTTTAGCCAAGCAGTTAATCACAGTTAATCGCCTAAAATAGTGTAAATTTACATTCTCAGTGCAAAAGATATCGCCACAGTAGTGTAGAAGAATACATTCCTTGCCACAGTTCTCTTCAGATTTTTCTTGATTGTTTTCTGACTGAAAGGGAAAACCTACAAAATTTTAAAGGTTCACCTCAAAGCTAACAACACCTAATGAATAATGACATAATTCTTCTAAGGGATTCGGGTAATTAAAAATTTTCGAAAGCGTAATCTATGTTTGCATCACGTCGCACCTTTTGTAGTTTTCCGACGTATTTCGTTGATTTAACCTTTGATATCTTTCCACTCTTCTTGAAATTTCGAACTGAATCACTTAGGTGGCAAAAGGTATTTCAAGACTACTATTTCAATTACGTTTCTGTTTCTTAAGCTGCTTTCATAGAAAGTAAACAAATTTGTTTCACGCTTCATTTAGACTCACTGTACTGAGAAAGATATAAATTAATCCTCGTCACGGGAAAATAGGGTTGACCTGGAAAAAGAGGAACATTCCAACCTGGTGCAATCTAGAAATAAATTTAACACTTATATAGTTGAAAAAAACTATATTGTATTGCGTGCTATGCTTTAAATTGGACAATATTTTTGCACCTGCTAGTATATTTAAGCAATAGAAATTTAGAAACATGCGTTTCTTTCTCTTCCTCTCAAACTTCTGACAGTGAAGACTACACATGCATCTCTGCTTAATATTTCTCCTTTGTGCTGTTGTGTACGGCGTAAGCCGTTTTTCAAAGTCAAATCTGAAGGCTGTTAACTTTGCCGAAAATGTAAGAGGAAAAAAACTAAATGGAAGCCTAATAAGAGAGGTGGAGGTAGATTCTGAAAGTTCCTGTTAGTTAGAGTGTGTGGAGGAAGAACGATGTCAGTCTTTCAACTTTGGAACCATTATGGGCCACTCAAAGAAAATCAAGTGTCAACTAAGCGGCTCGATTAGCTGGACTCGATTTCATTTACAGAGAAATAAAGGTGATTAATTACAATAAACTTGTTGCGATCGTTCTACTCCAACGATGATTATTGTCCAGTAAAATAACATTATATAAAAGTTACCGTCAACAAAATCATTTGGCAGCCTCAGCGGGGTAGATGAATTTACGTTTGATAAAACGAGGTCCAAAAATTCATTGGAAAAAAAAAAGAAAGGAAAAGTGGGCAAAGTAAAGTAGAGAAAAGGAAAACTCTACCTTCAATTATTTTGGACCGGGCTTTCTTGTAGATTCTGCCCCAAGGCGACTCCTCTCGTTTACGCCGTTTGATAAATAGAGAATAATACATGGGCGCACGATATGGAATAGCTCACGAGTGAGCGCAGCGAACGAGTGAGTTGTCGAGTTGCACACGAGAAGAGAAATTCCATATCTAAAAG